CAGTCACGGTAGTATAAATTATGTGCCATTGCAGAAAGGCCTGTTGTGTACCTTGTCGTCCTGGTGAACTTGGAGAAATGGTCGGTGTGATCAAAAGGAAGGATCTACTCTTGAAGTTTGAAGGCTACGTGGACAAAGGCGATACTGAGAAGAAAATTTATCGTGACGTGTTTGCGCATGGTGATCAGGTTAGATTTGTTTCTCCGTTGCGAACAATTGCTTCACTCCTGAATAATTTGCAGCCACCTTAAAATAAGTGTTCGATTTAGCCTGCATTTGATTTATTTAATAATTTATCTATCAACAGTAAATGTGTAGAGGTGACAAGCTGATAATATCTAGGTTTTCGCCAGTGGTGACATTTCTGTATTGGGATAAACTCGGCTATTTGTACTTCAAGGACAGAAGAGGTGACACGTTCAGGTGTGTTTTCTATAATCTTTTGTTTCTCACTTCTTTTCTCTTCCTGTACTGGTTTTTTTTCTCGTGTTTGTTCGCTTACATTGATTGGTGTGCGTTCCTTTTTCTTCCATTCCTACTGTATTTGTTTGATGTTTACTTCATTTGAAGAAACGGCTGGGTGATGAGCTGTACAGACTGTATCTGTGTCAGTTTGCGCGTCCGACTATCCATTGTCGTTTTTAATTCGGGCATCAGATTTATGATTTGTTCTTCAAAGAAGGGGAAAATTTTCCAATGGCTCTTGCCTTGGCCAGTGAATGCTGAAATGTGGCAAGATTTTTATCTATTGAATATTTATACGAGGACTATAAAAGCACTCTCCTACGTGATTGCTGCTACACGAGTTTTTCTTTTCCTCTCCGTTGACGCAGATGCTGTCAAAAATTTATGGTGCATATAAGGGATGCCAGATAAAATTGATAGGCGCCTTACTCCAGTTGCTTAAAGAAAGCAAATATTTTCAACTTTCCCTTCGCTTTCATAGTTTTCCTTCAGCTGCAATATGCAAAATAGGGTTAACACGTCGACGAAAAAGCGCGTTTTTGCCTTCTTTGGCGGCGTGAGACCGCTCCATTTTGCGAGTGCGGCCGCCTTATCACACTTACGTGGAATTCGAGTAATAAATACACAAAGCATGGACGGCACAACACTATCTCAATAAGCTACTTAGGGGTTAATGGGTAAATTTTGATCAAAGGAACGTGTAACACGTGTAATGGTGGAATTTCGATCAGAAGAGCGTATAACAGCAATGGAGAAGCAAAACCCCTTAGACATAGTAACAATGGCGTCAAAAGCCGTTTGCCCTCCGCTTCATTCGAAGCACGCCCTTTGACATCCACTCAGTTCTGTGTTTACTTCTACTACCCCTTTTGTATACATGTTTATGAGGTTTAAGAAAGGAACCGAAAATGAACTGAACTAAAGGTTCAGAAAACAAGTACTAAATATCTTACTATTCTGTAGGCCACTATGTTTATAGCTGTGTTAAGGTTTGTTCTCTGGAATGAATATCAAATGTTAGAAATAATTTGCTTATGCGCGACAGAGAATCTCATCAAGTGCAGTACACATACGTCCCGCATAGTCCCATGTAATGTGGATGCTGCGGGATGCATGTATCTTGCGATGTCGTCAGCATGTTAAATATCCTCTTTTTCATTGCGATTTTTGGCAAACTGGCGTAATACGGCCAATACAGCGTAATCAGTGTTCGGCTTAGGGCGAACAGTGCCAGTGTTGAGCGCGCCAATCGCGCGATACATTCACATCGGGACAGCTCTGCCTTCAGCTGGCGGGCTCTGCCTTAGATTGGTTGGTAGCAAGGGTTGCCGTCCGCAGTTAGAGGGTCTAAAATGGGAGTTTGTGATGACGTAATTGTGAGGTATCGTGCACCTAGGAAGTCACGAGGAAGAACGGATCCTATTCCGAGAAGTTTAGGCCGTTTCTCGGTGTTTTTCTTCACCGCTTTATCCCTTGCCTTTTCTTCTTTGGTAGTGGTGACTAATTTATCGTACCATCTGTCTCTAAAGATATCAAATCGGTGCTAGCGCAGCCTACGCGTACAATAATGCTGATATTCCGCTGCGATTTATGCCGTGCTGTTTGCTTTACCACCGCAGCGCGACAGCTCGCGACCATGTTTGGTACGTTGTCGGATTTTCCCAGTAATCGGCGCGAGCAGGGCCCTATCATGTTTAAGTAGTCGCCTGAAATGCAGTGGTGTGCCCAAATTCAATATAGTCGGTTATCATTTTCCAGATGGAAGGGAGAGAATGTATCCACGACCGAGGTAGAGGGCATCCTTCAACCAGTAATGAGTGTCATTGATGCGACTGTGTACGGTGTGGAAGTCGGAAAGAACGAAGGGCGAGCTGGGATGGCTGCGGTGGTTCTTGGCGATGATGTGAACGTTGAGGTAAAAATTGTTGATAGTACGTGCGTAAAGTGGTTATTTGCATTTTTTTCTATTTACATTTTTAGGAATTTTTGAATGAGATTGCTAAGAAGTTGAGAGACAATCTCGCCACCTATGCTATCCCCGTCTTCATTCGGCTGTGCAAGGAGGTTGATCGCACGGGTCGAACGTATTAAAGTTATTCATGCTCTTATTTTATTGTCTGATGATGATAGTTTACATGACAGAATGATGTGAGAGGCAGTTTTATTCGTTATGACTGGTAGGAATCGTACCGTGTCTTATCCAGAGATGTAAGACTCTAGCGATGCGCGATTGCGACCGTTTGCTGCCACAGTGGCTCGAGAGGGGGGGTATTCGTTATTGAATCCGTATCGAGTTCCGCGTGGGTGCGCTCACGGTGTGTCGCTGTCGCCAGTGCACTCTCGCCAAGTCTGACATCTATCAGATGATTGGTCCTGAAGGGTTGGAGTTCCTCGCACCAGTTTCTGAAAAATTATATTTCCAAACTTTGTAAGTGGTTTGGACTACATCAAGCCTGAAAAATTAGAGCTTTTGTCTCCTTTTTTTTCGAGCCTGAACACTTCTCTACCTACATTTCTTCATAGACGCATTTGTACGTTTGTGTATTTTACCCTGCAAATTATCCTTTCACGGTGGGCGCGCTGTTCGTTTCCCGTGGTATTTTTCAAGTTCTTGTATCCATATTTACTCTCTGTAATTCCACCATACATTGCCAGCCTCAAATCCCTGCTAGTCTTGGCGTGATCGCGGAAATTTTTTAGCTCTCGTTTCACGTACGCTATCTTTCACCTGTTTTTCGACCTTCTCCTTTCGACCAAGTTCCTATGACACGGTCATGCGCCTGCATGTTTCCTGTCAAACATGTTTTGTCGGGCTGGTTTTCCTACCAGCCTTGTTTTACTGAGCCTAATTTCCAAATTTGCCAGGTGCTAACTCTTCCCACACCTCTCAATTGATAGGAGATTTTACTGCAAGTAAGATAGATTCGTGTGAAAATCAGATTTGCATAACTTCTACTGGCATAAACGTTTGCCTTCCTTGGACCTTCCTCTCCCAGCCCTTTTTTAGCTTATTGGTGTCTGTTTCAGTTATCGATGGCACTATCTTTCTCTATCGCAACGCAGTTCGTGTAATTATACCATTAAGCACAAAGCCCAAGAGTACAGCGTCGTTTCTGCACCTTGTTACTATTGATCGTGATGCTAGATACCGAGCGTGCGACACCTGCGATTCGCGCGGCAGCCGCAAAGTTTGACACCTAGCTCGCCAATTTTTTACTCTCCTCCGACGTTTACGCTCCTTGAGGAAGATTCTCACTGTGCCCCTGACCACCATTTCGTGTGGGTGTGGGTACTTAGGACAGAACGCGACTTTTTCGCTCTTCGCAACGCGACATCGCGCGGCAGGCTGGCGCACCCGTAGCGAAAACAACTACGGTATATAAGAACGCGCGATTGGAGCAGCTTTTTTGCATGCGTGAATTTGTAAGTTTCTGATTCCTTACTTGCCCGCGCTCACACCCATTGTATTGATAAATGCGGTGAATCACTAATTCTGTCTCATTTTGAAAACGTTTTGTGACTTACAAGTGGATTCTCGGGGCTGATACACAAAAATGGGTTCACGAATTATTTGTTCGTTTTTGTTTTTTTTGCTGTTCGGTGTTTGAACGCAGGTGTAACTAGAGGCCGCATGTCAGGCTGGCATTTTGTGGGTTCATATTGTTGTATTAGACTTCTGCATACAGGTTATCAACTTCTCTTAACCGAACGCTTGTCGTGCGCTCGATACTGAGTTCGGATACTCATGTTTGAGCCCGGGGGCGCTTGTTGCGCATTTGGGGGGGCAGGGTGGGGGCCCACAGCGGTTTCCCACTAAATTTTCGTTTTAAACTTCATATTATTTTTAATATGTGGTTAACGGCTGATTTGTTCTTAGCCATTTAGCGGCGGCCGCTGGCTTCTGGCCGTGTCTGCGCCTCGCACTAATTAGATCGCAGTAGGACTAAGCCTTTGAGTAGTGTAGGGCTCCAAAGTGGGTAGGCCATTCCCCTGTGGTGTGACACACTCCAACTTTTGCCACACGGTGCGTGGTTTACCCACTCCGGAGTTTCACTCCCCTCCCCTATGCTTAGTCGTAGGCGCTGTAGGTGAGAAAGCTTAGTAAAGCAGAAAGTATGCGTTAAACAGCACGAATGTGGAAAAATGAGTGTCATATTCATGATCAGGGCCCCAAATACCCCTATGCAGAAGTTTACAGTCGTCTCATCAAACGTCCATCAACCATTCCTCTTCCAGGTTCTCCAGAAGCTCTACCATCCATCTCTGCAAAAATAACCTACCTCCCTCTTCACTGCTAGTTAGCGGTCCACTTCTGGTTACCATTTCCTCGTTCATTATCAAATCCATGGCTATTAAGCTTCAAACTCCTTGTCGCAATCAAAGCCGACACAAATATCGCGCTCCAATCGCGCGTTCTTATATACCGTAGTTGTTTTCGCTACGGGTGCGCCAGCCTGCCGCGCGATGTCGCGTTGCGAAGAGCGAAAAAGTCGCGTTCTGTCCTAAGTACCCACACCCGACATGATTCACG